TCATAAAGCAAGGCTGGTGAGTTGCCATGGCAAATGTATGTACTTTCTTGTACTTATATCTTTGAACCCAGTATCATAGACTTGGTGAGATGATGTCACCTCTGACTGGAAGCTTTCTAAATCTTGGGGCTCTTTTGCATGCTGACCCAGAGGTTCTTGACAGGTGTTTACAAATGACCTTGCGCCTTTTAATGGTGATGATGAAAAGCTGCTGAAAACTTATCCAGTTGTTTCTAAGGGATCATTCTTCCTTCCTTCCTTCCTTCCTTCGAACTTATCCAGTTGTTTCCGAGGGATCATTCTTCCTTCCTTTCTTCCTTCCTTCCTTTTGTGAAGAATGGCAAACATAATTAGTAGTGGTGCTGCAGAATATAAGGCAAGAGTGAGCAAAGGGCAGCCTTTCAGATATCGGGACTGCAGCTCCCAGTGTTCCTTCGTATTGGCTCTGTTGGCTGAGGCTGATGGGAATTATAGGCCCACAGCATCTGATGGGTCCCAAGTTCCCTAACCTGCCATAGTGGAGGGCAGCATGGGAGAAGATGGAAGTGAACTCTAAAAACTGGAGTCAATGGCATGTGTCCAGACCCTAATTTTAGAAATGAAATTTAGAAAGGCCAAGTTGGATCAGAGAAACACTCGAAAGGAATGAAGAAAACATCTTACTCCCCTAATCTGGGACAGTGACATGGGTTGAGCTGCTCTTACAGAGAGGTACAAGGGTCGTCTCTGGATTAACATGCTTGAGTTTACAAAAAAAAAATGGACTGAAGCTTACTCATTCTTAAAGTAAACTGAACCAAAGCTTAGAAAAGTTACTTTTGGGAACTATAGCGATCCCATGGAATCAGACATCTATCAGATCTGCTTTGATTTAGATTCCTACATGGAGTGGGGGATTATACCCAGTAGCCTTAGAGTCCCTTCCAGCTGCATGAATATGTCCTATCAGATCTGCTTTGATTCAGATTCCTACATGGAGTGGGGGATTGGACCCAGTAGCTTTAGAGTCCCTTCCAGCTGCATGAATATGTTATTTTTCTCAGAGATGCAGATTGATACAACATATTGTTGTAACAAGAAAAGTTTCTGGCTTAACTTCCTTTGCTGTCTGACTTTCCATGCACGCCCATAGTCATGTATCAAAGCAAGAGCCAATCCAATATGATACTCCCAGTCCCATTAGCGGTTGTTTGGGAATGAGATTCAAACCAGACTTGAAAATTTATCTTCTGTGCTACACCATCTAGAATTCATCAGCCACAATTGTTTTCAAAAAGTTGTGATGTTAGTTTATGCAAGCATATCAGACAAAAATTAAAAAACGAAATAAAAAAGCAAGAGCCATAAACACTGCAGCACCTCAAAGACTAACTGCTATACAGTATTATAATTTGAACTTTCATGGATAACATACACTTTCTCATTCATTAGAGTCACAATTTGCTGTGTCTGTTCACACATAGTCCCATTATACATGGACATGGAACCCATGTATAAATATGACAGTCATGCCGTTTTATGCTAATGTCAAAGGAAGTGGATTTGATCCACAAAAGTCACATTAAAACTGTATTTTTAGTAAGTTCCACAATATTTTTGTCGTTTTTTTAAATTTGATTTTTTTTTTTGTCCAATCTAATCAGCCAGAATAGCTGGAATTAAGATTGTCGGAAAAAATATCAACAACCTCCGATTTGCAGATGATACCACTCTGATGGCAGAATGTGAGGAGGAATTAAAGAACCTCTAAATGAGGGTGAAAGAGGAGAGTGCAAAAAATGCCCTGAAACTCAACATCAAAAAAACAACACCCTAAGATCATGGCCACTGGTCCCATCAACTCCTGGCAAATAGAAGGGGAAGATATGGAGCCAGTGACAGATTTTACTTTCTTGTAAAATCTAGACAGCATCTTAAAAAGCAGAGACATCACCTTGCTGTCGGTGGTGGTGGTATGGAGGATTTGAGGATACATAGGGCCATCTGTTCTGGGTGGGCCACCCTTGCTTTAAGATGCCACCTTGTCAGTGGTGGTGGTATGGAGGATTTGAGGATAGAGAGGGCCACCTGTTCTGGGTGGGCCACCCTTGCTTTAAGTAAATAATTACTGAAATACTCTGGAGGATATTTCCGAAGACTGGTTTGAGCATCACTACTTCTCTCTTCTGCCATTTAGTTTCCTGCTTACTAACGAAAGGTTAAAGCAGCCTTTTTTTTCTTCTGAAGCAGCTTTTTTTTTCTTCTGAATGTCCACTACCCACAGGAGGAAATAGAAAGGCAGGTTATACACTGAACAGTTGAGCTGTTGTGGCTTCCTGTGTAAAGTCAAAGTAATGATTTTAAAAGCATTGGCCTGAGACCATTGCTGTTAAAAAAAAACCCCACCAGGCCTTAAATTAAAAAGTGTAGGGTATAGCCAACTGCAACAAAGTATAAAAATAGTAGGTACTGTATAAAAGTATAAAAATAATTGGCATACTACAATCTATAGCTATAGAATCATAATCAGACCTAGATTTTACTTTTAATTCAGTACATGTAGCTTTCAGAGAGATGGAAAATGCATCTGCATCTCTAGTAGATTGTATATTTCAACTGTATGTAGGAATGTAGACAAACCTTTAAGTAACAGCTATACATGAAAGCTGCAAAATCCCTGATTCTTAGGTTCACATAGTGCTGCCTTCTACTGAGTCAGACCATTTGGCCTGACATGCCTTCTGTCATGGACAGTGAGTGGAAATATCTGTCCAGGCTTTGAGGCACAATTCTTTTCTTACACTATCTATAGATGACAGCAGGTCAACCTGGGATCTTCTGTGTACAAAGAATATGTTTTCACAGCCCTTTAAATATTCCATGCTATGAACTTGTTGGCTAAAGTACTTTCAGCCTATGCTACACACCAAGAACATAGGGATGATAACATACATCCTTTACTGGAGTAAGTATTCACAAAGCCTATTATTTACCCCTTGGGATGGTAGGGGGAAACACGTTTTTTTCTGCTTCTGAAAGCTAAACAGAGTCAGTCCCAGTTCAGTTCTTAAATTGAAAACCATCAAAACGTATTGGCTATCTCTGAGTACAAGTAAGAAAAAATCCTCATTTAAAACCCTAGAACAGTAGTCCCCAACCTTTTTAACACCACGGACCTGTTGGCGAAGGTGGGGCATGCACTTGCATTCGAAGGAGTGGGGACATTTTGCATGCACAAAGGGTGGGGGACGCTCATGCAGGCTCGCACACATGCATGAAAGGCAGGGTGTGCGGGTGTGCATGCACTTGCATGCGGGCACGAAGGGGCTGTGCGCGGGGGGGAGAGTGTGTGCAGGGGGAGATCTGTCTCCGCAGTCCGGCCCAGGCCATGGACTAGCACTGGGCTGCGGACCGGTGGTTGGGGACCCCTCCCATAAAGAGCTGCTGCAACTGGAAACTGACATAGTGAGCTGGATTAATTATCTCAGGATGACAGTTTTCTATGTGTCTGTTTAAAAAAATCAATTTTGTTTGTGCCTCTGGACATTTCTGTCTTGTGTAAGTGTGAGATCATGCCTTCAACACCTGTGTTATTTCTTCTCTATGTTATGAAAGGTTAAGAAAACCTGCTCATTGCTGCATCATCTTTCAGCTCCATTCATGTAAGAACTTGTATGCAGGCCAAATATTAGAAAGCTGGCTTTCTAGTACTTGGCCTGCACCGAAGTGCTCATTTTATTATCTGCTAAGAGCTCAGCTCAGCTGATTCGAGCTAGTTAGTCAAGTAAAATGAAAGTTGCCTTTTGTCTCACACTTGTTCCATGAGCTTTTATTCCTTCATTTACTGTGTGTGGTTTTGAGGCTTTATGCCATCAGGTTATGCATGTTAAGTCTGTGCCATCAGGTTATGCCTCACCAGCTTTGGTACTTCATTATACTGTATATTTCCAGAAGCTGTTCTCTATATTTTACTCCTTGCTTCCTTTTGCTTTAAAATGAATTTACTTCCTTAGAGCTTTGGGCATGTATGCATTTTCCAGCAAGGACTCTGGTACAGTAGTAAAATAAGTGCCTTGTTAGCTTGGATTCTTCTCCTACTGTTTGATTCTTCTCCTACTGCTGTTATTCTCATGCTAAGGAAATAAAATACTGTAGACAGTTTGATCCTTATCTCTGTAAGGTCTATGGGGTGTGTGTCTCCCAGCTCAGACCAAACTGGACAAGAGAGAATAGACTTGCAAGTATCTTTTTGAAGGGGTGGTTTTGGTCTCTTGATTTTGCTTCTTTCTAGCTTAACACACCTCTCTATTGACACTTATGCAGTCTAGCTCAGGCACAACCTCCTGAATTAGCTTAGAACTAAAGTTGTCAAAAGAAAAACACTTAAATATTTAATTTTCTTGTAGTTAATCACATTCATGCCCAGTTTTTCTACTCCAGGCAGCATACATGGCTTTCGTTCTTGTTTTATGCTTACAACAACCATATGAGGTGGATTAAATTGAGAGACAGTCACTGACCTAAAGTTACCCAGTGTGTTCTGTAATTTGACACTGCTGAGAGCTGAATTGACAACTGAATACTACAGTACTGTATATAAAAGCAGTAACATTTTTAAAATATCTAAAGTTGTTTGTTTGTTTGTTTTTTGCTTTGCAGCAACTCCCACCTGTTAATAAGCAGGCAATTCTGATCTACATGTAAGGTGGTGGCTTACATATTGTTTTTTGAAAAAGACATGTATTATGAAAAATGAAGACAAAATACAGTACACACATTTATGCACTTAAATTCGCACATCCAAATTTTATGCAGAATTAGAAGTAATGACTATAGTTAAATAAAAATAAAATACAAGTCTCCGTAACATGGAAGGCTGTGATCAGGTGACTTCTTTCTCTTCTCAGTCTGCTTTCTTGGTACAACTATTGCAAGTGAGCAACTTACAACTTCCCAGCTGCCTCTTGTTTGTTTTGCTCCTTGAAGCTACTTTTCTTAAACATATGCTCCTTTGTCTCCAGGTGTAAGATAATTACTGCAAAGAACTAAAAAGTGAAAGGAAAAAATGGCAAGTGTTAGTTCCATCAGCCACCTTCCTTATTTCTTTGGTAACATCACACGGGAAGAAGCTGAAGATTATTTGATGCAAAGTGGACTGAGCAATGGACTGTACCTACTGCGACAGAGCCGAAACTATCTAGGTGGTTTTGCTTTGTCTTTGGCGCACGATGGAAGAGTTTATCATTATACCATTGAGAGGGAAATTAGTGGCACTTATGCCATTACTGGAGGAAGATCCCACAGAAGTCCTGTAGAACTCATTAACTACCACTCAGATGAGGTTGATGGTCTTGTTTGCTTACTTCGAAAACCTTGTAGTCGACCACCAGGAGTTGAACCAAAAACTAGTCAGTTTGAGGACTTGAAGGAGAATCTAATCAGGGAATATGTCAAAAAAACATGGAACTTACAGGTGAGTTAGTTATCTTCCTTCTACAATGGTATTCTCTCTGTGCTTTGGCACCTGATGCTAAGGAAAAAGATGGAACGTAAGAAATTGACAGTGAATTGAATCCTCATAGTTTTTTCTGTAGCACCCAAAGCGTGTATGCCAAGTCTTGTACCCTAACAAAAATGCTATTCTTTCTGGCTGGCCTCTTTTTCTCTTCTAAATTTTGGGAATAAGAAGCTGAGTATTCGAAATAGCATCCACATAGCAACAAGTCTGTATTAGTAGCCAGGGTATTACTTAAAGCATATTTCTTGGTGGTTTTCTTCTGTGATTCTTATTCCTCTGAAATCTATCCCCGTTTTGAAGTATTGAGACTTATTTTTCTTGTTGTCTCTTTTGTTGTTTTTAGATAGCTAGCTAGATATGAAACAACATGTTTTGCAAGGTACAGCTTCAGACATTGTTAGACAAATACCTGTTTGCAAAGCCTTTGAAAGTATCTATACCACTGTAAGCTTGCCTTGCCTTATAGAGCTGTTTTGTATTACGGAATTTTTGTCAACCATTCTTATGAGCAACCGCAACCCCCATCCCTCCCAACTTTAGTTCTAACCTGTCCCTTATATTTTCTACCTAGCAACCTGTTTACTTTTCTTTAATGTAATCAAATGCCAATAAAGGTCTATGTATGTATTACAGTCTTACAGTGTTGCCCCATTTTGTCCACTTGCAGGGTCATGCTCTTGAGCAAGCAATTATTAGCCAGAAACCCCAGCTAGAAAAACTGATTGCGACAACAGCACATTTAAAGATGCCTTGGTTCCATGGGATGATATCTCGTGAAGATTCAGAACAGCGTGTTCTTCTAGGGACAAAGACCAATGGGAAATTTTTGTAAGTAAACATTTCCCTCTACAATTTCCAGAACTTAATGCTGACAATTTCCAGGAGTAGTAGGAAAACTATATGACACATTCCTTGTTTCTAAACATTTCAAGTTGTTATTTTTACTGATGTGCCATATCTAAGTTATACTGACAACAATATAACTTTGCACAGATTTGGGTCCAGATCCTGTTGGGATTTTTTTCTGCATATGTTACCATAATTACAGAAGTTGTGGTGATTGCTTGAAGCTAATTAAAGAGGTGCTAGTCATGTGCTTGGCCACATGACCAGGTGTACAACTGGTATCTTATTAGCTAACTTAAATTACCAAGTGCAACTTTCATTATTGCACTATGAATCTGGAAAGAAGCCAATAGAGTTTTCATCTGGTTATTTTGTGAAATGCCGGACCTTTGCACTTCCCCTTATGAATATGTATTGTGAAAAGCGTTTTAGTTTCCAAACAGCACTCTTTCGTTACTGTTGGATTATACTTTAACATTTATTAACCAACTTTAGTTTATGAAGTTTTCTAAGAGTCTAAAACATTAACAGTGTTTCAGCCAATCGCTTTTTCTCTTTGTCGTTCTGTCACACATGAAATGCTGTGCCTTTCTTTCAACCATTTATCTCAGTTCAATAAAGAAATGTGCCCAGCAGGAAAAGTTTGAACACCATTCACTTCTTAATCTTGCTTAATCTCCATTCCCTGATATACAAAAATAACCTCACAAATTATTGAGTTGGGATTAACAATAACGTTGTTTTTAGAAAAAATATTTGTAATGTTTTCATTATATGGGTACTGCACATGCTTTTGAAGCACACTGCTGTTCAAAAATAATTTTTATACTTTTATAGAGGAGAATTTCTTTCCTTCGTGGCCAGGGGGAATGAAAATTATGGTAGCTACTGTAAATCTGCATGAAAAAAAATATATAAAAAGAAGAACTGGAGTCAAAAGTGAGAAACAAGTTGCTGTGTGGCAGGCTGCCTTCTAAAGCTCTCCACTTAGGGATCAGAGCCTTAATCAGGGACCCATCCATTTTTTTATTTTTTGTACTGTTACTTCAGTTCATAAGCACAGTTCCAGCCTATTTTGTTTGTTGTGCTGATTTCCAAAGACCATGCATTATCTCACAGCAGCACATCTGGACTGTAGGCAATAAATACGTGAATGACTGTAAAGCTTGTTGGGACCAGATCTGCTCCTGATTAAGCTTTTGGGAGGTAGAGGAGACTAATTAAACACCTGGAACTGAACCTACTGCACATGGTGTTTTCTGTAGGTGTAGGTTTGCCAATCCAGCACAATCCCATAGTAAGGCTAGGCTCTTTTTGGAGATGTAATTTCATGTCTTCAATTATTACAGCCAGAATGAATAAAGATCAATGATTCAAATCAATTCCATCTTTAAAACTCAAATGATTGTTTTGATTTAAATTGTCAAATAAATCCAATGTTTAAAATTTAAATGGTAATTTAAATTGTGATTTCAAACGGATTTAAATCAAGTCCACCCTGATTACAGCTGGATTGCAGATTAGTTGGACCTTTTTGCCCTGTAGAATGAAATGTTGCTAACACCAGACATGAGAAAAGAAAATGGACATTCTTCAACGTGGTTCTCCATGAATCCAAAGAAAAGAAAACGGACATTCTTTACAGATAATTAAATGATTCCCACCAGAGTATGAATTGTATTTGCTAGTCTGAACAATGATAACAGTAATAGAAAATAAACTTTGCAAAACTTTCTTTGTACATCAGGTCCTGCTTAATAACTAGATGTGGCCATTTTCAGTCCATAGATTTTTCTGAACTTCCACAGCTAGTGGGCATACAGAAGCACCACGACAGAGGCTATACATCCTACAGTTGCCACAATTCTTCCCTGCCATTGCAGCTGTATTTTCTGTAGTCTTAACATATATAATTTTGACAATGTGGTCCTTAGGAACCAGGAACTAAAAATGAGCAGTGCTTAGTAGTGTCTCTGATAGATGCTTCTAAAGTTGCAGTACATCTCCAATAGCTGAACATAATCATCATCATGTATTGTCGAATCAATTCTGACTTATGGTGACAATTTTCAGGATTTTTCCAGGTAATGAATACTCAGAAGTGGTTTACCATTCCATTCTTCTGAGGATGACCCAGGACTGAGCAACTTGTCCAAAGCCACACAGGTTGGTTCTACAGTGATGCCTCGGCGTACGAACTTAATCCGTATTGGAATGGTGTTCGTAAGTAAAAATGTTCGTAAGTCGAAGCACCATTTCCCATAAACCGATTAATCCATTCCAGCCGAAGAAAAAAACACCAACACCAAAAAAATGAAAAGTACACAGCAAGCCTGGTTGGAAGGCACTGGAGCTTTAAGAAGAAGAAAAATCTCCAAAAATAAACAGTAAAGCCATCTCCGTTGCTGAGACTCCAAGAAGGAAAGAGCCTCCAAAAATAAACAGTAAAGCCACCTCCATTGCTGAGGCTTTAAGAAGAAAAAACTCAAAAAATAACAGCAAAGTCACCAACAACACAGCACAGAAACATACCCGCCCCAGCCAAAACCCAACCAGAACGGTTTTTAAAAGGAGAAAACAGCAGCTTACCTCCCTGCACACACACACTCACTCACGCTGAAGCAGAAGGAGGCTCTCCCAAGCCGACGACACACTCTCTAACTGCCGAAAATGAAAGCGCCACAGTACAAATAAGCAGCCTCATTGCTACTTATAGTTAGAAATTTGAATTGCCCACCTTTTCCCCCTGCCTTTTTTCCGTTTGTAAGTCGAAGCTCCGTTCGCAAGTCAAAGCAAAATTTTGCGAACGGAGCTGTTCGTAAGTCAAAATGTTCGTAAGTAGGGACGTTTGTAAGTCAAGGCACCACTGTACTTGTAGGAGGCACAATGGGAAATCAAATTCACAACCTCCAGCTCTACAGCTAGATATCTAAACCACTAATCCACCCAGTCAGCAGTTGAACATTAGGCCAAGGAAATAAGAAACAGATCAGAGGAGCTGCAAAGCATACTAAAATGGCTGATTAAAAAATCTGTGAATTTGTTTTTGTGCAAAAAATAAATTCTGTAACTGCGTAAAGAAATTATCAAAGCATTTTTTTCTATTCGGGGCATCAGCTCTTTGTTATACTACCCTTGATGGGTATTAGAAGCCATGGATTTCTCCGTGTTGGAACAGTCATTTTCATCCTGCATTTTGGGACTTCCCTTCATCTGACTACACCATGTGATGTCAACATTTGCAATGCACTTCTTCCTCTATTTCTCTTAGCAGCTACCTTTCCTATTTATAGACAGGCCAAGAAGTGCACAATGTGCCCATAACTCGGAAACGGGAAAATCTTTCTCATCCATGTAGTTTGGAAGGCTTCTGACAAGATCATATTAGTTTAGTTGTTCTGCCTCTCTCTCCTTTTCCTTCATTCTTTCAGAAAGCCTTATTACAGGAATACAATAAGTTGATGTATTTTCTTTTTCGACATTTGTCTCAATCTAATTGCTTTTTAAAGGAGGGATAATTGTAGATAGAGGTGGAAGAACCCTTGAATGTTAGGATCTGATAGTTTCTACAAACAATAAAATGAGTCTCTATTTTAGAAGCTCTAAATTGTCAGAATTTCTAGGCACTTGTGTCTGCTTCAATGAACATTGTGAAATTAAGCAGGTATCCTTTTAAGTTAAAAATATTTTGGAAATATATTTATTTTGAAACCATAAATATTACACACAGGGAAAGGATGGCTTGTATATTGGAACTGAAGAAATTAAAACCTAATAATGAGCATTTTTGTTATACAGACTAGACTACTTGAGCAATTTAGAACAGTTTTTCACCTCCTGATTCTTAACTTTCCATCGAATGTCAGTAGGGAAAATGAAGATGGGTAGTACTCATTATCCAGGTTTATGCACCAACCAGCAATGCTCAGGAGACGGAAATTGACCAATTTTATCAAGACATACAACACCTTCTGCAATTGACACCAAAGAAAGATGTTCTTCTCATTATAGGGGATTGGAATGCTAAAGTAGCGAGTCAAGAGATAAGAGGAACAACAGGTAAGTTTGGCCTTGGAGTTCAAAACGAAGCAGGGCAAAGGCTAATAGAGTTTTGTCAAGAGAACAAGCTGGTCATCACAAACACTCTCTTCCAACAACACGAGAGGCAATTCTACACATGGAAATCACCAGATGGGCAATACCGAAATCAGATTGATTATATTCTCTGCAGCCAAAGATGGGGAAGCTCTATACAGTCAGCAAAAACAAGACCTGGAGCTGATTGTGGCTCTGATCATCAGCTTCTTGTAGCAAAATTCAAGCTTAAACTGAAGAGAGTAGGAAAACCCACTGGGCTAGTCGGGTCTAATCTAAACCAAATCCCTTAGGAACACACAGTGGAAGTGAAAAACAGATTTAAGGAATTCGATTTGGTGGACAGAGTGCCTGAATAGCTTTGGATAGAGGCTGGTAACATTGTACAGGAGGCAGCAACAAAATCATCCCAAAGAAAAGGAAATGCAAGAAAGCAAAGTGGCTGTCCAATGAGGCCTTACAAATAGCAGAGAAGGGAAGGGAAACAAAATGCAAGGGAGATAGGAAAAGTTACAGAAAATTGAATGCAGACTTCCAAAGATTAGCAAGGAGAGACAAGGGGGCCTTCTTAAATGAACAGTGCAAAGATATAGAGGAAAATAATAGAAACAGAGATCTGGAAAATTGGAGGTATTAAAGGAACATTTTGAGCAAAGATGGACATGATAAAGGACAAAAATGGTAGGGACCTAAGAGAAGCAGAAGATGTCAAGAAGAGGTGGCAAGAATACATGGAGGAATTATACCAGAAAGATTTAAATATCACAGACAACCCAGATAGTGTAGTTGTTGACCTTGAGCCAGACATCCTAGAGAGTAAAGTCAAGTGGGCCTTAGAAATCATGGCTAACAACAAGGCCACTGGAGGTGATGGCATTCCAGTTGGACTATTTAAAATTTTAAAATATGATGCTGTTAAGGTGCTACATTCAATATGCCAGCAAAGTCAACAGTGGAAAACTCAACAGTGGCCAGAGGACTGGAAAAGATCAGTCTACACCCCAATCCCAAAGAAGGGCAGTGCCAAAGACTGCTCCAACTACTGTACAATTGCACTTATTTCACACGCTGGACCATAAAGAAGGCTGACCGCCGAAGAATTGATGCTTTTGAATTGTGGTGCTGGAGGAGACTCTTGAGAGTCCCCTGGACTGCAAGGAGAACAAACCTATCCATTCTAAAGGAAATCAACCTTGAGTGCTCACTGGAAGGACAGACCCTGAAGCTGATGCTCCAAGACTTTGGCCATCAAGACTCCCTGGAAAAGACCCTGATGTTAGGAAAGTGTGAAGGCAAGAGGAGAAGGGGACGACAGAATATAAGATGGTTGGACAGTGTCATCAAAGCTACTAACATGAATTTGACCCAACTCCAGGAGGCAGTGGAAGACAGGAGGGCCTGGCATGCTCTGGTCCATGGGGTCACAAAGAGTCGGACATGACTAAACAACTAAACAACAAAAGTGCTCATCTTTGATGTCCCATTGAGATGCCTTGATACATATTGTAATACATAATAATATAAAATGGAGAGACTCAAGAGTTTTATGGAGCCCATTTCTGCCTGTACTCAAAAATGTGTGTTTTACTTTCTCCTTGTCTTTGCAGGATTAGAGAAAGAGACAACAATGGATCATATGCCCTCTGTCTCCTCAATGAAGGAAAGGTAGCACATTATCGCATTGATAAAGACAAGAAGGGAAAACTGTCGATTCCAGATGGAAAGAAGTTTGATACTCTCTGCCAGGTTCGTTCAGTATCGTATGTTCTACTTTCTGTGGGAAGGGTATATTGAGAGGATATTATCAGTTCTGCTTTGATAGGAGGCCAACTATATCAGATTGAATAGACTTTGCCTATCATTTGTTTTAGCAAAAATAGAAAACTTTGCTTGCCAAAGTTAATATGAATCCATGTATCCATTTTTGAAAACTGTCAGCTGATTTGGGTTATTTTTGTGGTTGTGCAAATTGTTAGCATCATTGAATACAAATTAATTTACTGATAAAAATGGCAAAATAATATAAAACACCAAAATGTTACAGCATTTTTGTTATGCTAGTCTGAAACACGGGATAAAGTTAGGATTCTGTTTTGAAGCATCTGTTGTCATCCTTTAAAAATGCTATAGTTTGAGTCAATGAAAGCACAAAAAGAGTCTGAAAATGTCAGAAATCAGTTTATTTAACTTATATTCAGTATAGTTCTGTTAATATTGATAAAACTGATACTGTACTTCTTTGTTGTTGCACATGTATTTTATTACTTTAGTATATGGAGAATTGGATCACACAGATTCATTGTATAAGTTTCACCAAGTTTTTTTCTCTTGCAGTGACCTCAGTTTACACAGAACTAGTAATAGTATATGTATGAGTGAGTCATACATAGTGTTTTTGTTATTCCGATGCAATATGGAAAGGGGAACTTGTATCTCTCCTCTCAATGAACTTCATGAACTGTGTCAACTTCTAGTCATTTCCAGGACTCTCTATATCCGAAAGTTAATTCAATTCTCCTGTTCAGCACTTTGACCATTAGCCTGTGGTCTCAGGCTTCCATAATTCCTCATATTTTTCACATATGCATTAAAAACCTGAAAGTGGCTGTCCAGAATTTTGTGGTCTGGTACCACCAGTGTAAAAGGGACATGATGGCGCAGCGGGTTAAACCGCAGAAGCCTCTGTGCTGCAAGGTCAGAAGAACAGCAGTAGTAAGATCAAATCCAGGCGATGCAGTGAGCTCGAAAGCATATAAATGCAAGTAGATAAATAGGTACCACCACAGTGGGAAGGTAATGGCATTCTGTATCTAGTCGTGCTGGCCACGTGACCACAAAAACTGTCTATGGACAAATGTTGGCTCTACAGCTTGGAGACAGGAATGAGCACTGTGCCCTAGAGTGGACACGACTGGACTAAATGTCAAGGGGAACCTTTACCTTTACCTTACCACCATTGTGCTGATAACACCCAACTCATTCTGCTTTTAAAGATCTTCCAAGAGGCCCTTCTCTCAGTCTCTCAGGTCCCAGTGTGTAGTCCCCCCCATTTCACTGTAAAATCTATAAGGGATGAAATATATCATTTAAACATAATTTTGCCTTCAGACCTCATTTAATCCAGATTTAGCCTTTTTTAGAAACTGGAAGTGACCAGCCTGTCACTTCATATTTTTTACTAGCCAGGCTGCATGTGTTGCATTTAAATGGCAAATAGTTCTTCCAAGATTTCTGAGAGATGTGAAAAATTGAGGGGCTGTGGTGCAGCCCACCAAACACTGGGGTTGGGTAGGAAATGATAGTTCCCAGTCCTTCAGAGGTTGCCTTTTCTGGTATAAAACACATTCAAAGAATCAGAAATGTGTTTCTCAAGGATACCCATAAGCAGATATCATTCATCTTTCTTTAGCTTAACTATGTGCTACTTCTTCCCAGTGATCATGTGACTTGAAACATCCTTAGAAGTGCTGTATGTCAAGACGTGAGATCTTTCATAGCCATGTCATTGGCACAAAAATTAAGATTATATTCATTAATTAGTTCAGAAGTGAGAGCCTTTGGGCTCTCTGTGTATATTGAAATAATAATAATAATTCTCTGCCCCTGGCCATGCTGGGTGGGGATTCTTGGATCTGGAATCAAAATATTTGACTCAATATGATTTGGTTTTCATGCTAGAATACTGCTGTTTTCACATTGAATTTTTAAATTGAGCGAACAGAAAGTACATAATAACTGCTGTGTTTATTAGCAGAATTTTAACTGTCTAGGAGAGTATTGTAGATTCTGTGGTAAAATTGGCATTATATCAGTGCACTCCTGAACTCCAATGCTGCAAAGCCATACATGCCCCACAACAGGAAACAGAATGTCATAGCTTTACTGAGATTTACATAGCTTTACTAATTCAGATCCTATGCAAAAGGGACAGTGTTCATGGTTCAAAGGTTACTGGGATTCATGGCCTCAACAATGGCTGTTATCTTGCATGCATTGTTGAAAATGACTACAGACAATAAATATTTCATTCTGACTACAGACACAATAAATAATTAGCTAACAGATATAGTAGCTGCTTCAGTTGTATTATTTACTACAAATTAAATTATTTGCCAGAAGGCACAGTTGGATTCACTTTTAAGGAGTTTCCATACACATTATTAAGCTAGTTCTTCTGTGTCTTCTGGAGAAATTTCACCACTTGCTGCTGAATGCAGCATAGGTAATCCTTTACTTTCCATGCTCATATTTTGGAAATGATACTTCAAGAATTCTGTCCACTCATCCTTGCATTGAACTTCAGACTCTCAGTTCATAACAGATGAAGATCTAATGCAAGCTTATGTCTTGAAGGAGGGGATGTATTTCAGACAGTGATGCTTAAATAAACTGTTACGTAGTCTCGAAACTACTGCCGCTCAGCAGCAATAGTAGCAAAAGAGCAAAATGCACAGGGGACATTTTCAGGGCTAAAACCAGAGATCCCATAAGAGTGGAAATCTAGAATGGGTGGCTGTATTTTATATATTAACTGAACATTATCAATAGAGTCTTTGGTTGCAGGCCATTAGTAACAATTTAATAGCGTGTTTGTGCAGTTATTTTTCTACTCTTCCAATGTTTTCTTTCTTTTTCTCTTTCCTTTTCAGCTAGTGGAGCATTATTCCTATAAAGCAGATGGACTTCTAAGAATAATTACAGATCCAGTTCCAAATCCAGATGCTCACTTGACAAATGGTGAGTGACCAATGCTTTTAAAATTTGGAAGTTAAATCCATACATTTTGTGTGTCGTTACTGAACTTTAGAATACCACTGAGGAAATGGGCACCATGGATCAGATACCATGGACCTATGTTTTCAAAGTAGTTCAAGCAGATTGCTAACCCTAAGAACAGTACTGACATAAGCTGTCTGCCAACTGATGTGAGAGAAGACTACCATTACATATCACACCAGCACAACACTCACCAGAACAGAGAAGTAGGAGGAGCATGCTGGTGCATTGTTTTTGCTGCTGTTTTTGCAGTGTGTATGGACCATGCTAGCTAGCTGTGTGAATAATTCTTGAAGCTAAAGCATTATTTTTTGGGGAGGGGGGAATTACCTGTCCCATAATGTCTTGGCCCCAAGGACCCTCAGATTAACTAGTTAACCAAGAAGCAGCTGGTGTTTGCACATGGGTGGCAGCTGGAGGAAGAAAGATTGTTAGTGGCAGCCACTGTCTCAGGCAGTAGCCAGATGAGTGGCAATTGTGGATCTTCCACCCTTCCAGGATTCTTCTGCTTGAGATGACCATCTCAGTTTAGCTGATGGCCAGGCTAAGCTTGACTGAAAGTCAACAAAGCTTATTGAAGGTGTTAACGATATGGTTATCCTATCTCTAAAAGGCTCCCACTCAAAATAACATACAGTAATGGGGACCTTATAAAATCTGTGATAAATGTTTTTATACAGCTTGTTCCAAACTAGAGTGGTGCTAACTGTAGGACCGATTTTCCAATTGGACAGAGTACAACATGCAGTGGTTTTAAAACTTTCAAATATGAGCTTTCCTCTCTGTATATCCCTGTATGAGATTTGATTAGGTTATAGTTTTGATCTTAACTCACTGACCTGTTGCTGGCTTTTCCATTTTGCACTAGAGACAGGATGAATGCAACACATATTTATTCTAGTTCACTCGTAATCTGCATACCTTTTGTGTAAAAGTTCTAGAGAAGACGGCATGGGCCCTGTTACAATTTTTTTGTACAGATAGCATTGCCAGTTTTACTTTCCCATATTTCCTATAGCAGCACAAATGAAAGTAGAGGTTAAAGCAGCACCTTTGGTTTAGGCAAGTTTGGCAAAGCCATTTTGTAATTTTTTGTAATTTTGTAAAATCTATCTTGTGCTGCCTTTTAGTTAGTAGCACTAAAGCTTCTTCACTAAGTTTGAAGTTTTAATAACCATAAAGAGCATAAGATGGATGGTAGACTGTATTTAATAGTTTGCTGTAACAAAAGAGTTGCTCAGTGGGACATTCACGTCCTTATTTTGTAATGGCATTTCTTCATTGGAATCAAGCTAGAACTAGATTGAGCTATGTGAATCTACTTTCTGAAGGTTTTCTGCTGGACATTTCTCCTATAAACATATTCTTGCAATTGATGTTGTAGTAGTAATTAGTATATCTCATTATCTTAGGTGAATCTGATTTTAGTCAAACACCAGCACTTCCTGTACGTAAGGTAAGACAATATTCTGGTCAAAACCAGTAATGGCTATTTTTAATACAGTAAAGTATCATAGTGTTTAATTGTTAGTCTTTGAAATGTTAGTATATACATACCTATAGAATGACATACAACATTTTTCGTATGTATATACAGTATTGAAATGTTTGCATATTTTGATACAGTAGTATTGCACCTTGCATAGATTTACTTCCTTTATCTTCAGACATTATGTAAAGCTAATTATTACAAATGTAAGTACAACAAAAATAAGTGCCAAACTGCATGCTACCTAGTTTTTTCTGCTGTATATATTATATAAGATTATTAGTAGTTGCAATCTTCTAGATTTTGAGATGAGAAAACACTGATTCTACATTCAGAATAATAATTGTAAGTATGTTGTTCTGCATGTATTTACCTGCTCTACTATGTAGCCTTCCTTCCAAAAATTCAGCTACATACCGGTAACAGGTTTGAATATATTGTCAGGAGCTGAAGTGGGAGAGGGCAAGGTAGGAGACAGGATGAAAGAAAATCATGGAGAATCAAATGATGTTTTAACCAAGAAACTATGAAGTCATTTTGAGTGTGTGGAAGTGAGAAATAGAACACCGGGTATAAAAATTCTTAGTTTCATATATTGAGCTCTACTGAAAATTCCCACAACGTTTTGTAAGGTGAGGCTTTAATCCTTGCAACTCCCATCTTGTCGATAGCACACTACAGTAAATTAAAACTGAGTGGAAGATGATATCTCCTCTGGCTTTAGTTCACCCAGGCAAATAACTGCATGTGTAGCTGCTTGGCATGTACTGTAGCTGTCTGTGAAGCGGCTTGACGTGTAAGTCTGATATCATTTGTTAGTGGCAAAAGTAAACACCTTGACTGCTGCTTCTGATATAAAGGAAAGAACGTGAGCTTAATTTTTTTAAATAATTTAAATTGCTAGAGCCTGGAAGATGAAGAATGCTGCATATAGACAGCTTGTCTTATAGAGGGGTCTTTGGACATTTATGTTTAAAGATGTTCCTGTGTGGCTGTATCCATGGGCTGAAGAGAGAAAGATTTACAAACTGATTCCCTTTGTTTTATTTGCTATTAATGCCTATGTGGAGATCCCCCTCATTGCAACTTTGATATATAATAATATATATTAGGATTTAGCATATAAAGATAGCCAATGAATTTCATACGTATAGCAAAGTCCAGTATTTAGTGTCTGTCTATGAAGCATGGGAAGACAGCCATTATCTGAGAAGCATAGAGACACATATCTTCCTTACCTTTAGCAAAAGTATGCTAAAACAATAAAATAGGCTTCATTCTGTAGGAATATTACATGGAAATCCTGAGAAAGGAATTTCAAAGAAAGATCTTGAGAAAGGGATATCAAAGGAACTTCCTGGGAAAGAAAGTTCAAAGGATTACCAATTTAAATTACTTATTTTATGTCCCTTGGTGTTTCCTATATAGCTGTGTACTATCTTTGGTTCTGTAGACTGCCTTTACATTCATTGCTATTGTTTATATGACTGTCTCTACTGGGCAGTATGAATAAAAGTTTTCCTAAACCTTCAATGCACCTCATTACAAATTTTTAAGTGAAAAGTTCTCCACAATTACTGTTAAATATAAGCTATGTATAGACAACAAAGAATCTAAAGATTCTATTTTCAATATTTAGATATATTCCCCCACATTGTTGAGAAAATGAAGATTTCTTCATCCAGTGACATTTATTGATGATCTCCTGCATTTATTTTTGCTCATTGTATCACTATAAAGACATTTTTATAATTTGCAAATTTTAAAATAGGCAAACTGGCAAGTTTATTAAGCTAGTCATTTTAAATTAGGAATATATCCTGTATTTTTCTTGGAGGCCACATTTCTTATGGTTTTTGAAAAGCAAAGAGGCTGTGCAGGAGAGATTATAGTGTACTGCACAAAATGTATTTAAACATAGGTGAATGACCATTTTTATTTAATAAATAAAATATGTGAGATCTGTTTATGCTCAAAACCAGTAATGGCTGTTTTTAATACAGTAAAGTATCATAGTGTTACGTTAGTGTAAGTTGTGTTGCAGCTCACTCCACACTGTTTTGCCATTTGAAGATGTGTAATTTCTCAGAATATACGATGTCTTGCAAAAAAACAAACAGTTGGCATCTTGCAATTCTGCTCCTGCTGATTTTCATGAATGTGAAAAGCTCTGGATTTCTCAGTTCCCTAGAAAACTATACAATGGTGACAAGTGTTCCATTTTACATGGTGTGTTTATAAAGAATGTTTTAGAAGAATGCTTGAGTTCAGAAGTAGTGCTAGCCTATGGTTTCTCTAGGATCTCTAGGCAAGTCTCAGATCCGTCCACACTTATTCCATTGGTGCAGTAATGAGGAGAAGATTCAAAGATTTTTGTTATGAATTTTTTAAAAATAATCATAGTTTAGGTTATCTCTGTAACCTCAAACTGCAATTAATCTTAACTATGGATTGTTGAAACAAACTACCATCACAAACAGAAACATTTTGTTGGTTTGTCTCCATAAACTGTGGCTAAAATTAGGATATAACATTTAATTGTTGGTAATAAAAAATGGAAATGAAAGCATCTTACTTGAACTTGCAGTGGAAACGAAAATTTCCTTGCAAGTGTTCTAGGACCCATAGATCTATAAATTCCATAATAATACATCGTTGTTCATTATGTCTGAAAGTTCCTAGTGATTTCTACATAATTCAACAGCCACCAGTGTATTACAGTGGACCCTCTACTTACGGAATTAATCCGTATTGGAATGGTGTCGTGATTTCTACATAATTCGACAGCCACCAGTGTATTACATAAATAATCAAGGGGCTGTAGGTCTATGAAGTGTGAGTGTCATGAATGGCAAGCAAGAAGTATTAAGGATAGGGTCAAAGGGATGAATCAGGAGGGAGGAGAGTACGAAAGACCTAAAGAAACAAACATGCATGTTAAGTATTCCTTCATATTTTTCTGATATACTTATTTATCCTTTTGCTATCCTTTATGGTTTCTAGATTGGCACACAAGGTGGAATTATCACCAGAATCAAATCATACACTTTCCCAAAGGCAGGAAGAAAAAAGGTGCATAAACATAGTGTTCTGTAAATATATAAATAAGTGGAAAGAGTTTCCCACACTCATCTCACTTATATCTCTTATTGATGGATTTACTGTGTGCCTTGCTTCTAATCCTCTGTGTGTATTTGCAAATTTTCTTCAGCTTCTACTTTGGCCTTAGCTTGTAGCATTAACCCACAATTTTTATTTTGCAAAAATAATAAAGGTTGGATCCAGATTTAATCTTACTGAGTGTAACACCATTTAAATCAGTGGTACTTAAATTAAACCCTATCTAGATGATTGCTTGATAGTTTGAATAGCTATATTGAGAAAGAGGAGGCACAGGTAAGTCTCACTCCCAGTGTCCCTCCCTCTCCCCAAAGTCTGCTATACCTCTATGTGTTGAGGCATATGCAGATTTGTTTTTGTTTTTTGGAGGATTTTTATGAAATGCAACTCTCAGAATACTACTTGGGGAATTCTTGGAGAATTCTGGGAGTTGCAGTCCAATTCTGGGAAGTTCTGCCTATGGAATTCTGGGAATTACAGTTCAAAAGCATGAATCTGAACATGTCTGTTTAGCTGAATAAACATAGAGCACTCCCTTCATCAGGAGCACTGCCTTATTGGGGCTCCTGAACCCAAGGGCTCTGTAAGGTCATTCAGTAAAATGTGCCCACAGACACATTTTATTAGATCTTTGTCATTGGTTTCCAAAATTAGGTCTTTGTCATTGGTCTCCTTATAATTGGCCACAATCCTACTGGTGTTTGGTAAGGTTTGTTTAACTTACTATGGGTAACTGATAAACTGCCATCATTGTCATGCTCAATTGCACATCCAGTATGTGCCATGGTACCCTTTCTGTAATTAGAGTCATGCACATGGTCATGTGCTCAATTGTACATCCAATATGTGCCATGGTACCCTTTCTGTAATTAGACATGGCATATTACACAAACATCCATAGGATTTTGTCCATTATACGGGATAGTGGACCATGGAATGGATTCCAGTTTAGAATCCTGGATTTCTTTCTCTTGTTTTTTGTCAGTCTCTTTTAAAGGGCCTATCCATGTTTCATTCATTTAATGGTATTAAAAAGTAACATTGTGTTCAGTAAAATATCTGAATTTTTCAGGGAACTATTTTCTCTGAAATGTTTCCCTCCTGCTGCAAGAAGAAAACCAATCTTTATTATGCACAAACTTACATAAACTGCAAAGAACTTTGGCTTCAGTAGAAGATTCAGTAAAATCTTCAATAGGAAACTCTTGTTACAGAAATTGCAGTAATAGTGCTGCAAGCTGGGGTCTTTATCAACAAAAGTGTCATCTACTCACACTAATGGCAAATATATCCGGGATTAAGCTTTCTGAGTAGACATGTATAGGTGTGCATTATCATGTGCCTAGCAAGGCAGGGAAATTGAGCTACATATACACATAATAGGCCTTTCTTTATACTAGACTCCTAAATTTGCAGAAAAGTATGTTGTAAATTTAAAAGCTTTCAGTGAGAAAGCAAAGCATCCTACTGAGTTCTAAATATGCTTGGGTATGATATAATGTGAAGGGCGGTGAATATCAGTTGAAGATAGTATGTCCAGATGGAGGATTGGCCTCCATAAGCTCCTAACAGCTATAAGATTGCTCACATTACACTGGTTGTAGTGATTTTATTGTTCTTCATGGTTTATGTGATTCACCCTAATGGGTTGTTCTACACCTGTGCAGATGTTGCCAGAATCTTCCAGAGCCTAGGAAAAAACTTGTTAGCCCTGCCCCATCATTCAGTGCCTGCTCCTCTGCCTGATGGTTAATCTCTGTTCTTTTTTTATCACTAGTGAAGTAGCACCTCACTGATTCCAGAGCCAAAATTCAACAGAATTTTTAAATAGCTATTTTCTCTTTCTTAACTTCTCTAGTTAGCCCATTTGCTCTCTTTTCATATCGAAAAAAGAAGAAAAATAATTAGTTTTTAATATTTCACTTTGTTCCCACCTTTTTATGGCTTCATTTAATAAATGTGAGGAACCAAATACAAAGTTCCTCTAATGGATGGATGCTCCAGATATCTGTACTACCTCAGGAAGAGTCACCAGACACAGTCCTGCAAGTTTTGTAAGGAATTCACCAGAGTTGTAATGAAAATTTGGCAGTTGAGACTCAAATTTTATTTCTGGGAAAGATCTCTCCAAAGAATCCACAGAAGCATCGGTATCCATTTGCAAGACCCCAGGAAAGTCCCTATGGATAGAGGTGCCACAGCGCAGCACTACACAGAACACTCAAGAGGAGTTGATTACATCAGTTCCAGGAAATTGCTTCAAAATACATGATATTGATCCCATCAGTCTCAAAGCTGACCCCATAGAGCAAACAAGTAAAACAGCTGATATCGGTGGCAGTGCATCCTCCAACCCCACAGCCCTTAGATTCTCCAAAGGAAGAGCTTGTCTGCCTTTGTTCCATTTCAAATAGGACACAGCTCCACAACTTTCTCTGAGTGCCTTACTACCTCTCACACAGTCACTCATTTGGGACCACTCCTCTCAAACATCAGAGGGAGACCCTGCATTGCACTGGTCACAGAAACATACCAAAAAGCATTGACACCACAATGATGCCAGTACAGTGGGGGCTTGACTTGAGAACTTAATCCCTATTGGAAGACGGTTCTCAAGTCAAAAAGTCTGTAAGTCAAGTCTCCATTGACCTACAGTGCATTGAAAACGGATTAATCCCGTAACAGGCCGTTTTTGTTCCATTTTGGTTTTTTTCTGGTCTGTAAGTCAAATCTCAGTCTGCAAGTCAAACCTAAATTTTGCGGCCAGAGAAGTCTGTAACTCAAAAAGTCTGTAAGTCAAGCCGTCTGTAAGTCAAGGGTCGACTGTACCTGATCTCAACCAACATCTTCAAAATTGGACACTGTTCAACCCTCTGCCTCTCAAAACTTTCATAAAGACTGGCCTTCTCCTCTTCTCTACAGTCACGTAATGGGGGATGACTTCTATCATCTCCCTTTCTTCTATGGAGTCTTGCTCCTATTATATGTGGGGGCTAAATGGCTTTTCATGTCACCCTACACTGATTTGCAAAGGGCAGAAATGATGGGACATACAGTCCTGCACTGAGGCTCAATGCTAGGCTTCCTAGTGCAGGCTTTCCCATCTCAGAATACCACCACATCAGGTATAAGACCCAAATATGCTGTTAGCCGCCTAGAGTGGTCTTAACCGACCAGATAGGCGGGATATAAATAAAATAAATAATAAATAATAAATAAATTCCTCCACATCCTCTACATTTGGTCTCAAAACAACACAGGCAGTAGTGTCATATACATGCCAATGTGTTATGCCATTCATCAACCCCTGGCATGCCATTGCCAATTAAGGTTGGGTCTTGTCTATTACTGCCCACAGCTACACAATAGAGTTTTCCACTCCGCCTCTTAATAGGATGCTTCAGGATAGTGCCATCATCTCTAATTTTAGAAGAAGAGATAAAGACACTTCTGGAAAAGGATGTGGTACAACCTGTAAATCTCAAAAATCAGGGGGTTTATTACTTCATGGTCCCCAAAAAGGATTGCATACTGATGCCAATTCTAGACTTGAGGAATATCAGCTCATATAAAGAAGCAAAAAAGTTTAAAATAGTACCACTGTCCAGTGTTGTCTGCAACCCTGTCTTTGCTGAAGAAGGGAAACTGATTTGCTGTGATAAATCTCAAGGACACTTATTTTTACATATCCATCTGACAAGATCAAAGATCATCATTTTCTATGTTTTGTAATGAGCAACAGGATCTACTAATTCAAAGTCCTTCCTTTTGGTTTATCTGTAACACCCAGAATATTCATCAAATGTATGGCCTCTATGTCAGTGTACCTCAGACTTCATGGTACCTGTGTTCCTATACATCAGCAATTGGTTGGTTGTGGCAGATTCCCAAATGACAGGACGGAAGCATGGCAATTTTATAGTGAAAAGTCACATTTGAAACTGATTTGTATCTTGCAATACGTACATAGGCATGATTTAAAACTCAAAAACAGTGAGAGCTTATCCATCTCATGAAAGAACATAAAACATTTAACAATTTGTTGAAAAGTTTCAGGCAAACATCCTGGTCACAGTCTACATGGCCTCAACTATAGCCATCACTGCTCATGCAAAGCAATGAACAATGCAGTAGGGAGAGGATTTTTGTTTTTTCAAACTAAAGCATCAATCTCCACTCTGAAAATTCTGCCTAACTTACAGCTACCTGAATGTGGCTCACCTGGAAGAAAAGCCTCAACTGGGAGACTTTGAGGCTGAGCTAGGCCTAGTTCCACCTAGCTTCCTGTTAGAAAGAAAGCTCTCTGCTAGCACTGGGGCAGAAACAAGAAGCCTGGGTAGAGCTAGGCTTAGCTCAGCCTCAGAATCTTCCAGTTGAGACTTTTTTCCCAAATGAGCCACATTTTGGTGTCTGTAAATCAAGTAGAATTCCCAGAATAGAGATTTATGGGATTTGTAGTCTAAGAAATTAAAAAAAACATCCTTAATAGTAAAGTTTGAAATAAAACATGTTTAATATTTGTTGGTTGATTATACTTATTAATATAGGGTGTTTGAGGAGACGTAAATGGGTCAGATTGCTATTTCTTCATATTTTAAATGAAAAATTACTGCTCTGCTTGCTCTCCCTACTGCTCTGGTCCATGGGGTCACGAAGAGTCGGACACGACTTAACGACTAAACAACAATAAAAAGTGCTTGCTGATTTTTAAAGCAGATTGACTCAAGTGCACCTCCTTTCTTGTCACATGGGCCAGATCAGTCCCATTTTTTTAATGGGAAAAGTGAATTTGTACATCTTTGACCTTCATGCTAGTTCTAATGAATGCTAATGTGAACCACCTTTATATTTATAAGTGATGTTCATATTATTTAAGATCACTTAGTACATTTAGTCTACTGAGTGGAACTATGCCTTCTCTCAGTTCCTCATTTGTGAATATAATATGGGCTTTGGAAGAGAAGAAAATGCAAGTGCCCCATTATTATATCTCCATGCTTGTCTGTTTCATTCAAAAAAGAATTTTTGCATCTTCCCAGCAAATGAATATACCTGAGTACAAAATATTAGTGTCAGTTCTCAGTTGTATAGCACATAAGCATTAATTGCTTAGCACTTAGTCCCTTGAAAATACTTTACTTCAAGTTGACTAGTGTAATGATACTGCACCAGTGATGCATAGAAACATTTTGCTCCCTGTTTCTATGTATGTCATGAGACACAGCAATAAAATATGGATATATTCTTTATAATTGAGAAAGTTTTGTAGATGTGTTTTTTTCTCTTCAGAACATATAGCTGAGTTCACATTGTTGTCTCAGCTTCCAAGGAAGTATTTGGGACTGTGGAGTAAGAATGCAATCACAAAGGTAGCTTTTAGAAGCATGCCCTGTTAACATTAATTACATATACAAGTTATTCCTGAACGAATGTGTAGAGTATTTGTTGCATTTTTGAGATATGGAGTTGAAATGTCAGATTCCCTAATTAGTTACCTATTCCTTATGTTTTTGTTTTCTTTGATTCAGTTTTATGTCAAGCAATATCAGAAAATGTTTTCTTTGTCAAAGGTCCCTAGGGTGTGTACCTATTTGGTAGATATTTAGGAAGACTTAACCAGAGCAAAACTGATAAATACAATCAGAATTTTTTCTAACATAAATGAGCCAGTTACATGTACAACCAGCAGTACTTTTTTTCAGCAACTGGAATTAATGGGTGTTTTTTCTTTTTTTTATAATAACAAACATAAAATAACAAGATACTATGAACATAACAAGACATTACACAACCAAAAAACCCCAACCACATTTTATAACATAAAGGCTTCAAAGCAATTGTATCAAGGTTCCCCCCCCCCCACACTGGGACCATTGGAAATATAACCAGTTCTCTTCCTTTCATTCCATTCCCTTTCCAATGACTCTTGCAATGGTGAGCTTCCCTTTGTCATTATTAACACATAGCCAATGAAGTCTCCCCAAATATCTGTAAAAATATACATTTTTAACAGTCTTTACTTTAATATTACATGCAAATTTAACATTAATGGCTACAGACCATACTTCTTTGTGCCATCCATTTAACTGAAAATCATACTTTATTTACAATACTTAGCAATCATTAATTTTGCTGCTGCAGAGTCAAAGGAGGCAGAAGCAGGAAGGCCCCCTCCCCAGCATGAACCGGAAAAATGAACAACAAACCAGTTCATTTTTCTGGGGTTTTGTGGTAGTTCTTGGTTAGCCATGAACCACCATGAACCACCAATTTCCCGGTTTGTGCCTACCTATAATCCTGAAATAAAGCAAAGAACCAAAAAAAATATATAAGTGGTTGGTCATTATCCTCTGAAACTTTGTAACTTTTGGCTATGCTTACTGATCTGGAAGTTCTAGTCCAAAAAAGCAATGGCCCGAATCCAATGGGAAATTATGAAAGATGCAGCAGCAAATTGATGCTCATTAACAATGGATGCATTCCCAGGAATGCAACCAGCACCTTTGCTACCACAACTTCTGCAGTTTTCCTTACACTGGTGTAAATTGCCAGTATAATTCCGGCCATTGTTTCCATGCCCTAAATAAGATCCAAGAAAAATCAGTCAGTGAGATAAAGTAATCATTTTAAGTTAAAATACTACTAGATGTTAAACCTAAGTTTACTCTATAGAGAACTGATTCAAAATTTATATATTTTTAGGGATAGGACATAAAGAAGCAGGGAGGACATAGAACAATTTGCAGTACCAGAATATGGACAAGTTACTTTCTTGGTCTTCCACTCCCAAAGTTCTGAGAGTTTAAAAAAGTAACTTTTCATGTTCTGTGACATAAAAACAGCTTCCTACAAATGTGTAAGTTGAACACAAAAGCTCTATATGTAAAGTGCTGTAAAGTTTTTGCAGAGCCTTTATGCACGCCTTGTATTCTGCTGACATATATGTGCACCACAGTGAAGGACTTGAAAGCTTACATATGCTTTGCTCCCATTGTCATGCATTAATCCTTTCCTGCCTCTTTCACTGCTCAATAATTTGTTGTGTAATCCTCTCCTTAACTCACCCATTTTGCAAAAGGCATTAAAAGAAAAATGTGTTTGTGTGTCGTAGCTACTTTCACCTCTTCCTGGATGGAGCAAGGGCTCTACACTGTTTGCATCATTTAACAATTATGTGCCACGGACAAAGCAAGGTAGGCAATTACATTATCTCACTCTCAGTATTGACTATTATTAACATTAGGTAATAAAGAAACTATTTCTTGCTGTTTAGCATATTATTTTTTGTAGTCCCTGTGTGTGTTACATATATGAGTCTTTGGCTGTGCAGAATCATGGTTTGGAAATTTCTGGTTCTAGAGAGTTTGGACTGTAGCCCCCGCCCTCACTGTATACAGTGCATGTGTGAGGGGATTGTCCCTTGGTATTGCTTGGTCCACCTCAGCTATAGTGCATAATAAGAATCTCTGTGGGAGGCTTACCCTTCAGCCATACCTTAAAGGGGGAGGGAAGTGTTTTCCATATTTTTTGTTTGTTCATTTTGTAGATGTTTAAATTTTTTTTCTGGTAAGGCTTTGTTACTTCACTTTTCACCCAGAACTCAGAGTCCATGGGGTCTTCATGAAGAGCTATTCCATTTGAGGTGGGAAAATTTCAGTCAGGCATACACACCGACTGCCTTTTTTATTTGGTAAATAAACAACAAAACTCCCATTGTCTTAAGATCTCTGTCTTTTTTTGCCTAGACAAAGTGGAATGACAGTGTCTTGTTTGAATTTTTTTTGTTGTTTTTTTTGTTTTGTTTTTTTGGCTGACACTACCTATCTGCTCGGCTATTGCATCTCCAGAAATGTATTTATTTAACTTATATGCTGCCCACACTACCTAAAGGTCTCTGGGCAGCTTACAAATTCCCTCCATCTACAGTCTCTAGTTCCCATTAGGCTCTCTTTTCAGCATTATTGTCAGCCATCACGTCTGTATTATTGGCATTGACATCCATGCAGGTACCATTCTCAACTTGGAGACCCAGGAAGGAAAAGAGGTCTGATACCTCAGGTGGAGAGAGAAAGAGAAAACAAAAAAACATAAGCATAGTAAGCTTCTGCCCTTATATGCTTCTGTTGCTGATATTCCAGAGGTGGAAATACTCTTTAAACAACTATAATCAGTGATACTTTACCTAGATTTATCCCTTCCAATTCTAGTTCAGCACAGCTCCCCTGTGAGTCTTTGGCCATTGGCTCAGATTCTCAGAGTGAAATACCAGCAAATTACTGTGGCATTAATATGAACAATTGGTGTGAAATAAGCATCAATCAAGTTTGATCAAGAAGCGTATCTAATTATTTTCTTAGTAAGCATCTTGGGCCAAGAGCAATAAACATGAAATCATGACTGCAGAACTGAGTATCAGTGGCTTTTTCGTTGATGTCCTCTTAAAGGCTCAAACCACAAAACGATCTTAGAATTCTCACCTTTTGAAAAGTCCATCTAAACATATGGTAAATTCTAAATAGCAGTAGCTGTGGTATTAACATCCTTCTTGTGGTGGATCCATGTTAGGTAACATTTGATGAGATCAATTAAGCCTTTTGTGCATACTTTCCAAATTTAGCTTGTGGCAAGTTATTGAAGCTAGACCCCACGAACAGAGCAAGTTGATTGCCAAATATGGTTAGTCACATTAGTTAAAGAAAAGACATTTATTCTGCATTTTGCTTTTTCTGTTAAAGTCCTAGTCTGTCAAATACCTGTAATAGACTATATGAACATATAATCACACAGGGACATGAAAGTACCTGTATTTTATATTGCAATTTTAAAGTAGCTCTGAGCCTTTTGATGTTGTTGATATTATCACCACTACTTAACATTGAGCAGTAATGTGCTACGTAACTGTGTGAAATACAGAAGTGTCAAATGTCCTGTCCAGAAGATACATCTACATTATAATCCAACAAGCAGAGAAAAGTAGGAGGGAAGGGGTTAACGATATGATGGGTAGTAGGTAGTGAAAATGGCATAAGATGGATATTGAGTAACAGTCAAAGTGCATCTGAAATAATTATGGAATTATGTCAGAAAAGGCTTTTTCTTAATAAGTAGATTTCAAACAGAGAAAGAAGGAAGAGGATTGTGAATAGTGGGAGAGAATGCTTGTGAAAGGTCCTGTAGTCCAGAAAACAATCAAGCCAGGAGTGAGAGAGAACTGATATTTGGTAGTTCATATTTTAGACATGACAAGAATATGAATATTCAGAATACAGAAGGATGTGATTGTAAAATATGTTCTTCCATTTAAGATACAGATGATCAAAGGGAAGCACTGCCTATGGACACAGAGGTTTATGAAAGTCCATATGCAGATCCAGAAGAGGTGAAGGCTAAGAATGTCACCCTTGACAGAAGTCTGCTAACTCTGGAAGAACAGGAACTTGGTTCTGGTAATTTTGGCACGGTGAAAAAAGGCACCTATGAAATGAGAAAGTAAGTTGCAAAGTTCTGTCACCTTAACATTCCCGCATCATGGTTTTTAAAAACTATTTAATCATTTTTCTTTCCACATGGCTGACACTGCAGGTAAATAATTTAAACCATTGATATGCCATCCTTTAACTGGCTGTATAACTCAATGAGTTGTGTCCTCAAGTACCAACCCAGAGGTTTGGAGCCCAGTTCCTCACCGTGCCTCCTGGGAGATGCACTTGTGTGGGCTTTGAGTAAGCTCTATGGTCAAGCTTGCCCAAAGCTACCTCCAAAAGCAAGCTGTCTCCAAAAGAATGTGCTGGTAAACCATAACTGAATATTTGATTCCTAGAAAACCCTGAGGAGGTCAGAATAGCCTTCAGCATGCAGAACTATTCTTTACAAGGTGTGCATTTCAGAAGAAGTTCCATCAAATGACTATGTTTCATTTGTCTCTAATCTGCTAAGACATTTATTATTTTTCAATTTATATATAATTGCTTTCTTATAGTGGCCAAAATTCTTTTGGCTTAAATATACACAGTGGAAGCAGGTACAGTGGACCCTTGACTTACAGGCGGCTTGACTTACAGACTTTTTGAGTTACAGACTTCTCTGGCCGCAAAATTTAGGTTTGACTTGCAGACTGAGATTTGACTTACAGACCAGAAAAAAACCCAAAATGGAACAAAAATGGCCTGTTACGGGATTAATCGGTTTTCAATGCACTGTAGGTCAATGGAGACTTGACTTACAGACTTTTTGACATGAGAACCGCCTTCCAATACGGATTAAGTTCTCAAGTCAAGACCCCACTGTAATAGCACCAGCTCTGGCCAGTAAAATTTAATTTAAATTAATTGAAAGCTTCCTATCTCTCTGTTTTATGTTCTGAGGCTCTCTAGGGCTCCCTTAGGATTATCTTTTAGGGGGGAAACCGTAAGTTCTTGGATTTTTCTTTCTCTCTTCGTTGTTGGTTTTTTTTGGGGGGGAGAGGCTTTCCTTTTTTAGATTATTCCTGCTGCACAGTGGTCTGCTTGCTGGATGCAAAGAAGAAAAGAAAAGGCATCGAGGAGGAGGAGGAGAGAAATCTCCACATATTCTATTAGTTTTTGGGAACGATTTGTTGTATTTTTTGCCTTTATTTGCTTTTCTTTGCTTTGGGGAGACAGGGCTCTGTGTCTGTGTGTGTTTTCCTGTTTTTTCTCTTGGGAATGTGCTTTCCTGTTTGACTGATTCTTTGTTATTTGGTTCATTTACTGTTTATTTGTTCTATTAAAATGTGTATTTTGGTGGTAGGCTTGGTAGATTCGTTTGCTTCAGTGAAGGTGTGCCTCATGGCATGGACTTTGTTACTGTGTCACTGGACTGTGTGGCTGGTTTTTGTTGATGGTTGAGCATGGCTTGGGGCATTTCTTTCTTGTGTTGTTGTTTGTTTTGATGAGTATCTGTGCCAGGCTGCCAGATAGGTGGTACTGGCTGCCTAGGTCTAATGATTTTTCTTTCTCATATCTGCTTTTGGAGTAGATTGACCTTTGCCTCTGCTTTGTTGTTGTTGTTGTTGTTTGTTTTTTGGAGTAGTTTGTAAAGATTCTTAAGGACTGGTGCCAAAAAAAATGAATTGGAAACGTAAAAGAGGCTTTCCTTTTCATGTAAACAACAAGACTGGTATATAAAGAATATGAAAAAGGCACCTCCCCAAAGAATTCAAATAGAAAGAAATATGAAAAAAATCACCATGTACATCTCTAGTCAATGCAGTGCCAAAAAAAAAAAAAATGAATTGCAAACGTAAAAGAGGCTTTCCTTTTCATGTAAACAACAAGACTGGTATATAAAGAATATGAAAAAGGCACCTCCCCAAAGAATTCAAATTGAAAGAAATATGAAAAAAAAAATCACCATGCACATCTCTAGTCAATGTTGCCTTAATAAGAGAAAACCATATGTTCTTTGTGTGTTACTTGTTACTGTTATACCATGGAGCTTATAGAAAAATACTGTAGCTGTTAGTGGAAGAAAGAAATATGAAAAAAATCACCATGTACATCTCTAGTCAATGTTGCCTTAATAAGAGAAAACCATATGTTCTTTGTGTGTTACTTGTTACTGTTATACCATGGAGCTTATAGAAAAATACTGTAGCTGTTAGTGGACAATTGTAACTGAGCACCTTGAAAATAATTTATTTAAACAAATTTAGAAGAAAAAGCAAATGAGTGAAAACAAAATTGGAATGCTTTTTTACTTGACGAGAAACATTCCTTAAGACTGATAAAAAATTGGAAGGAAATCCCCCCAAAAATCCTGTCAATATTCCTCTAAAGATGCCCCTGTATGCTCTTTTAAAGGTAAAGGTAAAGGTTCCCCTTGACAATTTTTGTCCAGTCGTGTCCGACTCTAGGGGGCGACGCTCATCCCGCTTTTCAAGCCATAGAGCCAGCGTTTGTCCGAAGACAATCTTTCCGTGGTCACATGGCCAGTGTGATTTAGACACGGATAACTTTTAAAAGCAACCAGAAAACATTAGTGATTCCATCAATAAAACATCTTCCCTCCTGCTGATTACATAGAAAAGATTCTTGTTGCAGATAAATACATTACTTGTTACTTTAAGGCTCTGGTGCAGTCCTGTATATGTTTGCTTTAAATTAAGTCTCACTAGACTCAGTGGGGCTCACTTAGTTACACATAGCCAATAGTGAGAAGAGATGTGAGCTGCAGTGTGGTGGTATTTGGAGGGCCACATACTGCCGATCATCATTGCCCAAGGGAGTGTGTTCATAACTACCATCATTAACAACTTGTTGAGGGTCCCTTTTAAATTGGCACTCTTCTTTTTGTTTTCTTTTAGTCCCTCATATGTATTTGTCATGCATGCTTTTCAACACATACCCCTTTTTATACAGCATAGAAAGGATACCTATTTTGCACCTAAAGGAGAGAGAATCTGTAAGTGAACTATAGCAATATGAAAGAAAGGAAAGAATACTAGCACTTCCTGTGTTTATTTTAATCTGGTGTCCGGGTAGTAGGCTTTGTAACTGATAAAAAATATATTCGCCTCTACTCCTTTTTTATGGTATTTGACTAGCTTGTGGAATGATTTAGCCTGTGGAATGGCTTATGTCCCTGACCTGCTTATTCCAAAATCTAGGGAGCACCACTTGAATTAAGTAATAAAGTCTTCCCTGCTTCTCTGGCCTCACATGTAAAATGTAGCACACACCAAGAGTATCAAAGACTTGATTTGCCACCTATAACTGCACTTCCTGGAAATTCCTTTGCAGGGGAAAAAAGACAGTGGCTGTGAAGATTCTCAAAAATGAAAATAATGATCCAGCCCTAAAAAATGAACTGCTGAGAGAAGCAAATGTCATGCAGCAACTAGATAATCCATATATTGTCCGAATGATAGGTATATGTGAAGCTGAATCATGGATGTTGGTAATGGAAATGGCTGAACTTGGACCGTTGAATAAATATTTACTGAAACACAGGTAAGTTGCACTCCATGATCCCTACTACCGTGTTTCCCCGAAAATAAACAGGGTCTTATATTATTTTTTGCTCCAGAAAACACATTAAGGCTTATTTTCAGGGGATTTTTTATTTTATTCATGTACAACAATCTACATTTATTCAAATATAGTCATGTCATCATCTTCTGGTTGCTGCACGATGCTGCACAATGGTGGTGGTGGGGTTCCACTTAACCAGGGCTTATTTTGGGGTAGGGCTTTTATTATGAGCATCTTGAAAAATCATACTAGGTCTTATTTTCAGGTTAGGTCTTCTTTTCGGGGAAACAGTAGATTTTGAACATTAATAAGTGAAATTGAAGTTACACATACAGATAATGAAGGCAATAGAGGCAAATGCTAGTTCTTGAAACATTTAAGGAAGCACAGCTTTTGTTCATCAGTTGACATTTTCTAAATCCATTTTCAGCACACATAACTGCTTGTTCATACAGAAGGGTTTACTGTCATGTCATTTTTCAATTTTCAGAGGCTGTCACCATAAATGAAGCTATACATACAGTGGTGCCCCGCTTGATGATTACCTCGTTAGACGAGGAAATCGCTTAACAATGAAGTTTTTGCAATCACAAACGATGTTTTAAATGGGAAAAATCGTTTCACTATGATCGGTTCCCTGCTTCGGGAACTGATTTTTCGTTTTACGTCGATCAGAAAACCGCTGATCGTCAGGTTTCAATATGGCCACCTGCTGTTTAAAATGGCTCCCCACTGTATTTAGGATGGATTCCTCGCATTACAGGCACCAGAAAATGGCCACCCTATGGAGGATCTTCGCTGGACACTGAGGTATTTCGCCCATTGGAATGCATTGAGTGGTTTTCAATGCGTTTCAGTGGGCTTTTCCATTTCACTTGATGAGGATTTCCCTTAACAGCGATTTGAACGGAACGGATTATCCTCGTCAAGCGAGGCACCACTGTATTCCTATGTTAGGATTTTTCCTAAGGTCAGATCAGGAAAGGGTACTGATAATAAAAGGGCTCAGGCAGGGTTAACCTGGCTCTGTGAAAACCGATGCTCTTACATGATCCCATTACAGTTTTCCAAACCTCCCTGTTTCTCTTTAGTGTATGGTACTTGGCTGATTTTAATAGTCTTCAAGTAAATTTCCTGCACAGAAGGCATTTTAATGTAGAATACTCATGCATAGCAAGTGTATGAGTATTCATTAGCCGTCTGTGTACATACAGTAGAAAACTGTATTAAGCAAATTCCTAATAATTGTACACTATTTCTAAATGGAAAACTCATTTTAGGAAAGCTCCCTTGAAGCAAAACTAAGCACAGCTTCTTCTGACATACATTTTTCCATGCACTTTTCCTTAAGAGATGTTTTTGTATGGAGCTTTCTCTTATTTCCAGCATGGCTTATAATAGCAAATCTTAACAGTCTGGATGGAGTCTGGACTCTCCTTATGTAGCCACACATATGTAGCCTGTTATATTTTTAAAACGAAAAATGTGAATTATGTAGTTTGTGTCACTTAAGAGTAGACCAGTTATCTCCCATCTCCAATGGGACCCACTGTTTCTTAACATGTAAAGGTGCACAAACATAATTCTTAGGAAGAATCAACTGGTGGGGTAAGCACACATTTATTATGTCATAAAGATGCTCATGCGCTACTTTTCTGTGCTAAAAAGCCCTTTCCTCTGAAGGTCTCATATGAAAACACAGACAGAAGACAATAAAGCTCATTTAAAGTCTAGTAAAACTTTGGAATGCAATAATGCAAAGTGCAAATGTATTTAACATTGCTAAAGGCCCAGTTGTGATGTTTTCAGAGATGTCACAGAGAAGAATATCATAGAGCTGGTTCATCAGGTTTCTATGGGGATGAAATATTTGGAAGAAAACAACTTTGTGCATAGAGATTTAGCTGCAAGAAATGTCCTGCTGGTTACCCAACATTATGCTAAAATCAGTGACTTCGGACTTTCAAAAGCACTTGGCTCTGAGGACTATTACAAGGTAACATTTTACATTACAACACATCTTTACTGATACTTTTCACTGTGCATTGTGATGTCTCAATAGTTCTGAACGTGATAGCAACTGCAAATTTTGGGGGAGAAAAGAGAATAGTTAAATACTGTTTCTTCTAGGAAACACCTATAGCTACATGGATTAAAATATGTTGTGGTTTATTTTATCCAGTTAGTAGATGTTAGGATCTAACCTCCAGTATAAAATGCTACCAGACTGGCATAGAATGACTAGTACTATGTGACTGAAAAGTACTATTAGAAACATAACTCCTTGGACCTAAGCAAGTTAGAGACCTAGAACCATCATAGTATGCCAGACTTGCTCAAGATACTCCAGTTCTGGCTTGAGTAATTCTCATAAAATTCTGTGGTTTTGGAGGCTTGTTTTCCCCTACCTGAACCTGTGGGGAGCCATGCTGTTTCCATCATGTTACTGAATTTTCCACCAAAATTTTGCATAATAACAATCTTTACTTCTTATTATCATCATCTACCTTTTCCTTGAAAACAAGGTTCATGAAACATGCATGCCTTGTCTTAAAGAACAAAAGATAGGAGGTTTTTTTCCCACTCAATTACACAGCATTGGCAAAGGAGATGTGGGGCTGCATATATAATCAGGAGACTGCATGTGTCCACTAGTCATATATTGTCCACCCCTGCTATAGGAGTTTGCTTGCAATTTGATATTCTTTGTAGCGCTGTATCAGGGAAAGGAAACCTCACGCTGACTGGCCCTCATTTATCATGTCTTTACTGCAGAAGCAGAGAATGCCTCTGTGAACCTTCTAGAAACAGCTGATATTTAAAAGGCTAGAATATACTCTTGTGTGCTATGGCTGATTTTACTGACTAATTTTGTTACGTTTTTGTAGGCAGAACATTATGGAAAATGGCCAGTCAAGTGGTATGCTCCAGAATGCATGAACTTCTTCAAATTTTCAAGCAAAAGTGACGTTTGGAGTTTTGGTGTGTTAATGTGGGAGGCTTTTTCCTATGGGCAGAAACCTTACAAGGTAGGCATATTTGCTTTGTCTTGATTAACACCCTCTCCCCTTACTCCCAAGCACAGAACTAGAAGTAATCCAGTTAGATGAAAGGTTGCATGGAGATACTCTTAAACCGCCCATTATAGCAACTCTTTTGGGTGGGTGGGGGGCAGAATCAGAGGTTGTGATGCTCCTATCATTTGAGGACAAAACCACCATCACTGTACTCTATTGTACCTATAACAGATTTATCACTGTGTTGCAGGGTATGAAAGGAGGAGAGGTTGCACAGATGATTGAAAGAGGAGAACGGATGGAAAGTCCACCAGCTTGCCCTCCTGAGATCTATGATATAATGAAATTGTGTTGGACATATAAGTGAGTACAATCATATTCATGTTTCTATGATCAAAATAATTGGTTTGAGATTTTGTTTTCTATTCCTTGTTTTTTCCATTTTTAACTAAGGATAAAATGACTGAATAAATGGATTATCAAGTTGATTTCTTTCCGCTAATTATAGCTAAGACTAACCATAATTTTTCTGAATTCAGACATGTCAAGCTGTTGTCAATCTGGGCTCC